TTTCGACCGCTCTCCCGCCAACCCGATTTACAATATATTTCTCCCGACTTTTTCTTATTCTTAAAATTTCTCGCGATTTTTATGGAACGTGGCTTATAATTTTGTTATATGAACCAAAAAAAAAAAAAAAAAAAAGTGATTTTGGACGTCTGAAAGCAATTGAATTTTCTCTAGGTTATATCTAAAACAAAACCTTGGTAATCAGATGAGAATTTCTGCTTTGTGAGTGGGAGCATATGTATCTAGAAACTTCGTTCTCCAATGGGCATCGAGCTCCACTGCGCGTCATCTAGCATATATTAGCCAATGAGCACAAAGCAAGCTCAAGGCTATTATTTGGTTGTTCTTTAGTTATTTCATTCATCTTGTCCTGAGTTGTGGGAGTACACGTGCCTTCGGGAAATAGTTTTAGAAATTATCATCTTTTGTTATGTCTGGGATAAAGGTGAAATACTCCTTTACGTTTCAAAAATCGTACACAGTTCACTTTCCTTCCATTATTTCCTCAAAATAATGTAATAAATTTATAATTGTAATGTGTACCATCTGTCGTTGCGATTTTTCAATTTCGCATTGTGGAAGGGCGGATGTTCTCAATCATGTGTGTACACAAAAACACAAGGACAACTTTGAGTTATTTTGGGGGGGGGAATTAAATTTTTCTTCGGAAACAAAGGACCAAAAAAAGTTATTAATGCAGAATGTCTGTTCTTTGCCTTTTTACTGGAGCACAACCTGCCACTGAATGCATCGGATCACGCTTCAGAAATTGAATGCAGTTTACTTTCTGTCCCCACTTTAGAAGGACATTCGACAGGCTTTAATATAGCACAGCTAATTATTAAAACTTAAAAAGAAAATTCAGTCCCTCTAGATTGCTTAGCATTTGGTGCCGATAATGCACCAGTAATCGTAGGCTTGAAGATTGGTGTTGCAGGCATCTTAAGAAGGGAAAATTCATATTTGCAGATTATGAGGTGCACCTGTTACCTCGTAAATTTAGCAGCTTCTTTACCAATAAATGTGGATGAACACATTGTCGATACTTATTATTATCTTGAAAGGAGTTCTAAAAAAGGAAGGAAAAATTGAAACAGTTCCAACAGCTGCAAAATAATTAAATGAGAAAAATTTTGAAACGTGTGTACACGCCGGCTGTCTTTAAAGAAATGTTTATCTAGAATCCTTGATCAATGGTACCCACTTCTTGCATTTTTTAAAGAAAAAGTAAATGCTTCGAGAGTTAAGATAAAAGGCTCTATTGAAAGTTATAAAATACCTAAAGTAAATGGAGATGTAGTTACAACTTCCATTGTTAAAAATAGGTTTGAGAAAAATAAAGTAATTTCTGCACCATTCAGCAATTCAACTGGCAGTTCTCAAAATAATACTGAAAAATATAAGCGTAAACCTGATACAAATTTCTCTCAAAATAAAAAAAAAATTTGCTCAACACACGAAACATTTTCCGATTACTGTAAGTTTATCTAAGCACAAATCTGCCACTGTTCATAACATTTGTACGAAAATTGATTAAAATGTCTTTTTTTGTTTTTGTTGTTTTCTTAAATGATGCAAGTATTAAAAATGTTTTTTATGTATAAGGTATTTTTGTGTTGCTTGCATTTAAGAATTGGTAACTATTTAAAGTTAATTCATTATTAAAAACTATATTTTTATCATTTAAAAAGTCATGTTAAAAAACATTGTGAAAAATCTCCCGATTTTTGAGTGTCGTAGGTTGGAAAGTACATACCTGCCAACTTTTACGAATTTTTCGTAATTTTTACGAAAATGCGTTTGTCTTTACGATTTTACGATCGTAATCCATTTTTTACAATTTTTTTTCCTTTTTCAAGTGTTTTTAGTGATTTTTGTCGAAATTTTAGAATTTTTCGCCAATTCAGAGATTTTGCCAATTGCATCGTGTTTTACCGCCAACTACCGACTACTTCGAATCCAGTAACCTGCGGTTTCTCCCAACTCGCCGCTTAACCAGCCAATCTAATGCGCTGAACTTGTTTCTCCCACTCTTTTCTTTGTGTGCGCCAGATTATTTTTTTCGCGTTCGCTTCAGCAGCAAAGGAATTAAATTACTCAGCAAGCGTGGATTGTCGCATTCTTTTTTTTTTTTTTTTTTTGCACGTGCTACGAATTTTCTTAATACGTCGTTGTTACGAAATGAGTTAAAAAAAACCGTATTCTCAATATTTTCGGCCTGCCTACAAAGCCGAATTTCCAACAATTAAAGAATCCTTCAAAGGAAATAACTATGCATTTTGCAACGTGTGCGTGTGTGACTTCATAATAAGTCACGGTGGAAGAAGCGACATTGTGAAGCATGTTAAGTCTAAAAAGCATGAAGTTAATGCTTCGGCTTCGACAACGTCAAAGAAAGTGGATGATTTTTTTTCAAATTCGGCTACGAATTCGGATGCCGATGTCATTTTGGCAGAGTGTTTGTTTACTGCATTCCTCATCGAACACAACGTGCCGCTAAGCGCTGCCGATCACGCCGGTCAACTTTTCAGACGGATGTTTCCCGACTCCAAGATTGCTCAGAAATATGCTTGTGCTCGCACGAAAACATCTTCTATTGTGAACGAAATTGCTTGCGATGCACAAAGTAAAACGATAGCTGCACTCCAGAATTCAGCATTTTCGGTGTCAATCGATGGCACAACGAGCAGCGATTGGAAGCTTTGCAGCAACGACAGCATTGGAAGCTTTACCCCATCGTTGTCACATATTTCTGTGATGTTTCTAATGAAATGAAAACTCATCTTTTGCGTCTTCCATTGTTAAATGGAGACGCTACGGGGGAAAATATTGCCTCCTTGGTAATTAATGAGTTGAAACAACTTAACATCCCAATATCAAACTGCATTTCATTTGGTGCAGATAATGCTCATGTCATGGTGGGTGACAAAAAGGGTGTAGCCTCTTTCCTCAAAAAAGAACAAAATGAATTAATTGTTATTGGATGCCCATGCCACTTAATTAATTTGGCAGCAGAAAAAGCTGCAGCTGCTTTACCATTAAATATTGACCAGCTTCTGATTGATGTGTTTTTCTATCTGGAAAAAAGTGTAAAAAGGAAAGAAAACCTAAAGAATTTCCAAGAACTGTGCTCTGGTGAAACGAGAAAAATTCTGAAACATGTATGCACGAGATGGTTATCCTTAGGCAGAGCGCTAGGAAGGTTTATTGAACAGTGGGATGCATTGCTAAAATATTTCCACGAAGAGACCAAAACGAAACCACAGATCCCATCAAATTTGTCGGCATATAAGATTCCGAAAACCAACTTTGCTTCTAATCAAAATGCTTTAAAAGGGAAAAGCCAACACACAGAATCAAACCCTTTAAAAAGAAAATGCTTTAGAAGACTCCTCAAAGGTCAACTTTGTTAAAGAAGTTGAAGGGAAGAAGAAACAGTCTTCTATTAGCCGGGAGGAAAGGATTTTCTATCTTCTTTCTTCGGATTTGAACAAAGCATATTGTAGTTTTGTGTTAAGTACCATTAAGATTTTTGAAAGTGTAAATACCCTTCTACAATCAGCTTCGCCAAAATCTCCCCTGCTTATCCAAATTCTTAATGATCTTTTGAAAGAACTTTATACTAAGTTTGTAAAACCGTCCGTTGTGAAAAACAGTGTGTTGATTCGTGTTGCCTATAATAGTTTGGCAAATCAAAAGGATGACAATGATCTTATAATTGGAAATCAAACCAGGGAACTTGTAAATTCTTTGAAAGATCATGAGAAAAAAGAATTTTTTCAATGTGTTAGAAAGTACTTTTCCTCAGCCTGTGATTACATTGTAAGGAAGTTTCCTTTGCAAAATGAAGTTCTTTTAAATGCTGAAGTGGCAAATTTGAAACAAATTGAAAATTCATCTTTTGAAAAGATTCGTTTTTTTATTGATAAATTTCCATTTTTGTTAACAATTAAAGAAAATGAATGCCATAATGATGCTTTAGATGAACTACAGAACCAATTTTCTGCTGCACAGTTTGAAGACTTTGCCAGTTCTGGAGAAGATAGACTTGATGTCCTCGTTGGTACCTTAAAAAGAATAAAAAGAGCTGATGGAACACCAAAATATGATAGACTAGCAAGAGTTTTATGTGCTATTCTCGTAATTCCACACAGTAATGCTGAGTGCGAGAGAGTCTTCAGTGTTGTGAAGAAAAACAAAACTATGTTTCGTTCTTCAATTTCACCAAAAACTCTAGAAAACATTTTAATTGCTAAATGTTATGAGGAAACTAATTGTTATGACAGGAAATTTTCCAAAGAATTTTTGGCTAAAGCCAAAAAATGCACTCTAAATTCATTGCAATAATTTTTTTGTGTAACATTAAGTTCTTGTTTTATGTTTCCTAATAAATTTTTTAGTTACTACTTAATTGAGATTTACTAATGTAAGTACAATTTTCTTTTTTCTATTTGTATAAATTGTTATTTTTTTAATATCAAAGCATGATATTAATTCTTCGTGTTCTTCTGAATTTTGGAGAAATCTTCTGAATTTGGGGAGAAATCTTCTGAATTTTTATCTTTAGAGGTTGGCAGGTATGCAGTATGAAAAAATCTATGCTATGTTCAAATATAAAATCTTGAACTATTAGCGTGGATGAAAACTATATTTTGGCATCTGGCCAACATGAACTCTATATTTGGTCAAATTGTAAAACTTCACAGCTTCCGATGCCTTTTTTCCATCGGATGCAATATCCAATGTTGGGTGCATGGTACTCTTGAGTGGGACATTCTTGTCCCCCCCCCCTTGTGTTTTATTGTCATGCTTAGCAATCTTACTAGAGCTCATCCCTCTTATTTTTGAAACAATAAGGTACTTCTCTTTTTGAATGATTTATTGTGCCAACGCAGCTTAACCCTGAACTCACTTCTTTTACTAATTTCAGCAGAGTACAAGAAAAATATCCATTGTCAGTACTACTTGAGTTACTATCAATTATTTATCTCCTTGCATAGGAAGTTGACCTGGCTACTTCTCATAAGACATTCTGCTGAGGACGTCTCCGTGTAACCACTTGTTGAAATATTTCCTGTTTTCCAAACTGAAGCATCTTTCGCTGTTTCTTCGTCGTTTTAAATTTCCTTACTTTGAATACATCTTCCTCGTTCTCGAGTTCTGTTTTGTTGCCCTTCACTACCATTGCGAGCTTGACTACTTCTGTTGATTTCACTTCCGGAAACTATACTAGTAAAAGGCAATGTAACATATTTTTCGTATAAATATTTACAACACAGATTTTTCTTATTCGTTTCGTGAACAGATTCTCCATTAGATGAATCGGATTCACTTGTTTCAATAGGAATAATCCAGTCCTCATCGAATAAGTTGGATATAGTTTTGGTATAAAATTCTTCATCATGTTCAGTTTCTGTAGTGGAATTATCATCAGAAAGGCTTTCAAAAACTTTCAGCATCTCCTCTTTCATTAGATATACAGTCAAAAGTCTTTAATCCGTACTCGTCGGGACTTCGGCGATTCCGGATTATAGATCATCATTTTAAATCTGGTAAAATGGCATGCAGAAACTATAAAATTAAAATATGACACCGTAATTTATGAAATAAAGAGCAATTATGATCTAAAGGGTATCAAAATTTACAAAAAAAAAAAAAGCTTAATTCATTACTAAAAACTATTTTAATAATAAATTAAGCTTATTATTACCAATTTGTTTTCTTTATTAAACATTTTTTTCAATGCGCGCATGCGTAAAGCATACATTGCGCATAGTCGAAATTAAATTGCAACCAAAAAACTATTTGATTTGTATTCATGATATTTATAATGACGAGGAATTTGATTTAAATCATATCAAAGACAGAGTACATTGAAATGAAATACTACATTTAGTAATGAATTATAAGCCGAATAAAATAAAAACATCTGCCCTGAAGATAAGGATAGTGCTGACAGTTCAACTTCGAGTTCATTATGTGCCGTGGCGTCCCCCCCCCCAACAGAGCAGCGTGAAGTTGATAAACAGATTTCAGAATGGTTAGATAAACAAAGGATATCCTTTATCAATTTTTTTGCAGCAATTCCACTTTTTGTTTGATGGACATCGAAACATGCTTTTCCTTTGTAGATCCTTTTGCAGCTCCAGCATCAGAAATTCTATTTGACATAATCGAAAGTTCAAGCTTACTTTTTATAAAATTGCTCTAACAGTCTGCAAAAAATAATAAGCCGGATCCAATTAGAAGATTAAGGAACAACGCAATCTGCAACATAACTGAAATAGATAATTTTAGCTTAACTTATACCGTCTGTTATACATTAAACGCGCATGCGTGAAGGTTACGCACATGCATCTCTACTAAAAAATAACCTTTCTAACACAAAGGAAACAGCAGATACATGGCGCACAAAATTCCAAGCATGTGTTTTTATTCTGCTCCCCATTCATTCTGTGAAATATGCAATTTTCTTTACCAAAAATACACTTGTTTATTTATGAGCAAACCAGAAATAACTAAAAAATCTTTAAAAAACAAAAAATATATAATTTTCTGGGTATGGTCAAAATGACCGATAGCCCTAATTCTAGGCATGAACAATAATATTGGCGAAAGTAATTATTTAAAATGAACCAAAAAATATCAAAGTTTTAAATAAAGAATTTAAAAAGTTATGTCCAATTTAAAATGCAAATACAGTGAAAATGACAGCTGTCGTAATCTAGTGCTAATGTTAATATACACCAGTTAAAATGGTGAATATTTCTTGTGAATTGGTAGTTTATTAGAATATTTTTGGGCTGTGGTTTGGAACTAAACAAGAAGTATTTCAGGATATGCATCTCTAATAAATTACCTGGTATGCGAAAGAAATATAAGATTAAAGAGTAGCATAGTATGACAACACAGATGTATTTCAACATCAGTTTTGTAAGAATAACTTGAAGCCATTCTTGCTGTGCTGTTGCTTGCTGCTATGCATGTTAAGCAGATTTTAAATTGCTCATTTTTTATTCTAGATTTAGCAGGTGAAATTTAAATCACTTTTTTTTTGTTTTTTTTTTTTTTTATGTTCAACTGTTTTACTTCTCTGTGCATAAAGGCCTTAGCTAAAGGTTCATATTCTGTTTGAAAATGTTCCTCAAAAGAGGCCAAAATAAAGTAATCTTTGTTTTTTTGCAAGGAATTTATAGTCTGTAATAAATTTCTTAGCCCGGACTCAGAAACATTTAAAAATAAATAAAAAATAAAAAACGTTATGTTGGAAAATGATAAACACAAGTATTTATGAAAATCAGAATTTATGTTTTAGGTTTAAAAGTTAATATTTCTTAAAACAGGGTTGCCACAATACCTGGAAAATCGGAAGTCAGGAAGTCAGGGAAATCAAAAATTGACCCAAAAAGTCAGGGAATTTAACTATTTTAGTCAAAAGCTGAAAAAATCGGGGAATTTCATAACAGCGATCCCCCAAAAGCAATTTTTTCGCAACGTTGAATGGGATCACGTTCTTGGCGAATTATGTTTTGCGTGTGCGTCATTCGGGCAGCTGGCGTAGAGCCAATTTTTGCAGCGCCAATCAGATTGTCTTTCAGAAAGGCAAAGAAGTTTCCAGTAACCTCTTGAATTCAGGGCTCGCACAAAGAATCGCATGCACATGTGGAAAGGAAGAAAGAGTTGGAAGTTCTGCCTTGTCGTTAAGAGAGCTCGTTTTTCTCCTTTCAGTTAAAAAGTGGTAAGTTAAATTTTGTAATCTTTTACATCTTATTAACTTTTTTTAATGTATGTTTACTTAATACTTTATCATATTTGCTTTTTAAAATGATAAGAATTCATGCAGTGCATTTTTAAAGTTAAAAGAAGTTTATTGTTGCTTTTTGAATCATATTTTGTGCAATAAACAAATCCAATCGCTAATTGTATTCAAATCAAACCACCCGAAATAGTTTCCGATTTCACAGCAATTTCTCCCTTGTCCATTAACGCAGAAAATAGTGTGGGATGTTCAATGACATCCTTTGTACTTTCTAACAAAGATTCCATTAGCCCTTGACCTCCATTCTTTATAAAACTATTCTGAAGGCTTTCTGGCTTTGTTATGATCACGACTGAAATTTTGTTTCTTTCCCTTATTTTTATAGGAAGGTAAATATTTTTAAAAATAAATATAATCCTTTAATTTTTTAAACTGCTCTTTTATTGCTGTTTAAACAGGGTTCATAGCGGTCCTTATAAGTGCTTATAAGTCCTTATATTAGAAAATAAAATATAAAGGCCCTTATAGGTGCTTACTTTTTCTTTAAAGCCCTTATTTTTTGGTTTTTAGTGCTTATTTTTTGCTTTTACGTGCAATTTTTCCCCGTACCAAAGCCGAAACTAAATAAACAACTTTTCTTAATATGGAATGTCAGATTGTGAATCATACTCCTGGAAATAGCTTTTCCCCATTTCTCTGCATTAACATAACCTCTGGTGTGCACGGAGAGTACAGACAGGTGCCCATCGTTCTGTTGGTCAAAGAATTGCGAAAGCTGTAGAAAATTCCAGAACATTTGGCATTCTTTTCCTCCTACCCAAATACTACACACGTTTGAATTTCTATCAAGATCTTAATAATTTGCATTCTCGTTCCGCTTGGTCAGTTCATATTCGATTTTATTATGATTATGATCGTTATGCTTATATTATGAGCATATGTATGAATGTTTATAATAACATAGTTGCAGTAACTGCTGAAGTATAGTAAACTTCCAAAAATGGTTGTGTTTTAACACAGATTAGCTTTCTAATTAATAATATTCGGAATGACGTAAATAAAGGGAAAGTAATCGAATAGTCAAAATAATTTCATTTTTTTGGCCAATACATTATACAGTACGAAGGTTGGGAGGTTCTCCCTTTTCTCCGCAAAATCACGAATATTGAAACTGTTACAGTTCGTTGCAAAATAAGCAACGGACTTTTTTTTTTTTTTGTCTTTTTTGTCAGTCACTTTCCAATCTGGATTGAATAAGACTAAAAGTTTTGCGGTCTACCAACCCAAGCGAAGAATGATTCTATTCCGGAAATTTAACACAGTCTGTTGAAAATTAGAATGAGAAACACCCAAGTCCAAAAAATGTCCCGAATCAAATAGAGGGGAAAAAATGACCCCCTAAATATCTGAAAACTTTCAGGTTTTTTTTTTAGGGGTGGGGCATTTTTTTCCTCTATTTGATTTAATACTAATACATTTAATTTTCGTTTCAAATATACCAAATACAATATTTTTACAGTTATAACAGTATTTTCAAAATCTAAATACGAATTTACCTTATATAACAAAATCTTTGGTATTCTTATGTTATCAGGACCGGATTCAGAAATGTATGTATCTATGCACATGTTTATGTAGGTATGTGCATATGTGTGTGCGTGTATACGCACATTTACATACATAGGTACATATGTATATGCATTATATTAATACTTACTTCCATAAATACACGCACACATACACATATTTCTGAATCTGGTCCCGATAATAGCAAAGTAAAAATAATGCAGAGTTTTTAAAAATTATCTTGAGTAATCAACAGTAAAATTATAAATGATTTTTTTTATTAAATGTGTCATTTGTGCATAAACATCAAAAAGTATGTGGATTATATCTTTTCCGTTCGAATAACCAAATTAAAGGGAAATTCCTCCCCCCCCCACACACAAAAGAGTATTCTTGGATTTTTGAGTCACTGTATGCAATGTAATAAAAACGTAATGTCGCTTTCCTGTAGAGCATGCTGCAAGAATCGATCATTGAGTATCGAACAGATCATACATAAGATTTATTATATGGAGAGTTTCAATTTTCAATGTCTAGAAGGACTGACTACTTATTATGTCTGGGAACAATGCCATTAATAGACTCACGTTTGTTTTTTATAAGCCAAAACTTGAAATGTTTTGGAAATTATTTTGGAGTCATGTAAGTAATGGTTTGAAAAATTCCGTTCCGATGACAGACTTGCCAACTCTCCCAATTTAGGCGGGAGACTCC